AAAAAATGTATGGCATGAATGCATAAAATATATGTAGATACTAGTCTATTTTATCATTTACTACCATAAAATATATACAAATCAATTATAAAAAGTTAAAATGTATCAAAACTTACAAACACAAACACTTATAGAGCATACATGTCACCATTTGCAGTACTGAGAAATGTAAGCAACGTGAACATGCAGTACTGAATCATAACTGCATAAAATTAACTGCAGTACACACTGTACTACCATAATAGTTTCGCAACCACTTCCTATCGCTACTGCAGCGAGCTCAACTGTTGCGACTGTCCACGAGCGTCCAAGTACCTGTTTAAAACGCCACGTGACAATAATCATCTCTGTGTGAGCAGTTCAGTAAATTGCATATGGCAGTAAAAAGTGATCTCTGGCGGTTCTCATGTATTTTTCATCATGTCTAGTGCACTGCTGTAAAATCTGAATCACACCAGGGGACCTGTACGAAACGCCACTAGTGGTGCTGGAAGTGCTCCCATGAATTGGCGAAAAGTCATGGGCGTTACAAGAAAAAGCCGCAGAGGGTGTACACAGACTGAGGTCTGCAGCTGCAACTGCCCACCAAAACAAGATAAATGGATCCAGCATGAGATAAGGACCATTGTAAAAAAAAAAAAAAGAAAAGAAAAGAAAATGTATGAAGGTATACATCACTGCAGCTATCTATGTCAGCAGGCGTAAAAACTTTGCACTTTTCCCAAAACACCTTTTCATTTCATATTGAAAAATGCAGCTTTTACGTGGGTACAAGATTGTTACAGACTCTACTATCATTCAAGAAAAAGTGAAGTCATTATATGACAACTTAAAGCAAAAGAAAGATGAAGAATCTATAGCTGGAAGATTTAATGCCAGCAAAGGATGGTTTGATAGTTTTACAAAGAGGCTTGGCTTTTTTAAAAAAAAGTGTCAAGATAACAGGAGAAGCAGCTTCTGCTGACCAAGAGGCAGCAGACAGGGCTCCTAGAGGCCATTAAGAAAATCACCGAGGAGAAAGGCTATCTGCCTGAATGGGTTTTTAATGCAGACTACAAGTGTCCTATTCCAGGGGGAAAAACACCACAAAGGGCGTATATTAGTAAGGAAGAGAAGAGGGCAGCAAGATTTAAGGCAAGAAGGAATAGGCTGGCCGGGCGCGGTGGCTCACGCCTGTCATCCTAGCACTCTGGGAGGCTTAGGCGGGCAGATCACTCGAGGTCAGGAGTTCGAAACCAGCCTGAGCAAGAGCGAGACCCCGTCTCTACTATAAATAGAAAGAAATTAATTGGCCAACTAATACATATACAGACAAAAAAATTAGCCAGGAATGGTGGCACATGCCTGTAGTCCCAGCTACTTGGGAGGCTGAGGCAGGAGGATTGCTTGAGCCCAGGAGTTGGAGGTTGCTGTGAGCTAGGCTGACGCCAGGCACTCATTCTAGCCTGGGCAACAAAGAGAGACTCTGTCTCAAAAAACAAAAGGAAAAAAAAGAAGGAATAGGCTAACTCTACTGTCTTGTGCGAATGCAGTCAGGTATTTATGATCAGGACTGCTCTTATCTATAAAGCTGCTAATCCCCAAGCCTTGAAGGGAAAAGATAAACACAGGCTGCCAGTCTTTTGGTCGTACAACAAGAAGGCCTGGGACAACAAGAACTCTTTTTCTGGAGTGGTTCCATCCATGCTCTGTCCCTTAAGTGAGGAAGTACCTTGCCAGTTGCCTTTTAAAGTTCTTTTGATACTGGACAATGTCCCTGACCCCCTAGGACTTCATGAATTCAACGCTGAAGGCACCAAAGTGGCCTATTCGCCCCAACACAGTGTCTCCCATTCACCCTCTCGATCGGGGCTGAAACGGACCTGTAGGGCCCATTGCACACCGTGCCCTACGCAAAGGGTATTCAACACCGTGGAAGAGAACCCAAACACAGAGAACGTCATAAAAGTCTGGAAAGAGTTTGAGGATGCCATTGCTGTTACAGAAAAAGCTGTGAAGCTATCAAGCCCCAAAACAGTTAAGTTCCTGCTGGAGAGAGCAGGATGTCCAGATGTCGCACGTGATTTCATAGGACTGACAACAGAGCCAATCAAGGACGTCATGGAAGAGATTGTGGATGTGGAAAAAAGTGGGGAATGAAAGGTCTGAACATACAGATCTTGAGGAAATTTCAAGAGCTAACGGACGCCGCTGCAGAGAAACGAACAGGTGACTTGATGGAGGTGAGTTCTTCCAAACCAGCGCCGGGCAAGGGGGAAGGAGACGTGGAAGAGCAGGGCCAAAGAACAAACTGGCCTTGGACGATCTGGCAGGAGGGCTGCAATAAAGACTACTTTTGACTTCTTTAACGGCATGGACCCTTCTACAATGTGGGCACTAAAACTAAAGCCAACAGGGGAAGAAGGACTGGTGCTATCTGGAAACACTTCTAGAGAAATAAAAGAGGGATTAAGTCAGACAGAAAATACAATGTATTTCTGTAAAGCTGCACCAAGCATGCCTGCCTAAGTCCCCATTCCTTTCCTCCCCATCTTCTGCCTCTGCCCTCCCAGACACAGCAAGACCAACCCCGCCTCCCTCTCTTCCTCACCTTCACTGATGTGAACATGACCATGACCTTTATTATGCTCTTTCCACTCGAGGAACGATAAATATCATTGTTCTTCCTTACGATTTTCTTAATAACATTTTCTTTTCTCTGGCTCACTTTATTGTAAGAATATAGAATAAATGCGACATACAAAACATGTGTTGATCGACTGTTTACGTCATTGGTAAGGCTTCCAGTCAATAGGAGGCCATTAGTAGTTCAGTTTTGGGGGGATTCAAAAGTCTTTACGTGAATTTTCAACTGCTGGAGGGTCGGCACCCCTAATCCCCACACTGTTCCAGGGTCAACCGTACTTTTGTACCTCCAGCTTACCACCAGCACTAACTGGTTAATTATACCACTGAGACTTGTGCTTTGATCTGTAAAATCAAACAGCAACTCAAAAACTAGGTACGGAACTACATTTCTCAAACTAAACCGGGAACGGTGGCTATAAGTCACGTCTTCTATTAGTTTTCCCTTGTGATTTCTCTGTTTATGGCATTCAATATTCTAGCAAACATCAGGCTTGCCTTCTCTTTTTTTTTTTTAGAGATGGGGGTCTCATTATGTTACTTTGTTACCCAGGATAGTCTCAAACTCCTAGCCTCAAGCAATCCTCCAGCCTCTGCCTACCAAAGTGCTAGGATTTCAGGCATGAGCCACCACACCTGGCCAGGCTTATCTTAAGATATCTCTGACATGTCTCTCTCCAAGGAAACAGTAATGTGTCATATACCATGCAGATTATACCTTCACCATGACTCCACCCCAATGCAACCCAAAGCGTCCGAATCTCCAAAGGCTGAAGCCTGCTACGCTACTTCCAGCTCCATCTCCTCTCACCTAGACTACATCCTGCGTATGAAAGCCACACGGTCTGTCTCCCTAGGTGCATCTCTGAGGCTGCCAATCTCCTACTCAAATTTTCTGTAAACTCTCGAAATCTTCTGAGTAATACCCTGCTCAACCCATCCTTCTGACTTTACCTCCAATAATTCCTAAACTGAAAGCTCCCCGAGGATGCTGAGGTTATTTTATCCCCCTCCCTAGCATAGTACACGGCACATGATTGATAGACACCTGATAGTGTTTGAAAAAAGGAATCAAAATCTGTAAAGTTCCTCTCCAAAAAGATGGACACTGGATTAGCTCCAGTGGCATAACTCGTCCTTCACTTTTTTTATAACACACTGTTAATTATTAATAGACAATTGTTTGAACGACACCAATCTGAAAATTGGCCTTTAAAGACAATCACAAAGACTTACAAAAAGACAACAGCCCTCTGTGATTAAAAGAAAGCCAATGAAAAACCACTTTAATCTATTTTGATTATTTTAAAAATTATTATAGTCTTACCACTACTAACTTAGCAGCTGTGATGGGCTGGACCAAATAACTGCAACATAAAAACTATAACTAAAAAAAGACAAAACCAAATTCCTACTGGATAATATAAGAACATCAGACAAATTTTTTTTAAAAATATTTAACATAATAATGGGGGGGCATGGGCAATATATGGAACCTTAACATTTGTACCCCCATAATATGCTGAAGTAAATAAAAAAAAAACTAAAAATATTTAACATAATAATCATTAACTAAATATTCTCAATACTTTCCAGGTATCTTCCCTTAAAAATTTTTTTAGTCCCTTATTCTTCCAGTGAGTGAAAGCCAAACGTCCAAACCATACACACATTCGCACAGAACATCTCCCCTCTGCATGCACTACATAATCTACGACAGACACTGTATGGCGCACTATGACACCATCTCTTGGTAGGAAACTTGGATAAGGAAATGTACTGCTCACCATAAACACTACTCATGGCTGTTTCTCAACTATTCTCTCCGGTTACTCTCAGACAGTCATTCAATGTCACTAACCCACCCAACTTTCTCCTACAAAAAGCTAGGGGGGTAAAAAACAGAGGGCCCCAAATTAATGTATAAAAATTCAATTCACATGTAACTTTTCTGAAAACACTACTGTTGGGTACAAGGAGACAGACCCCTTAGGGACCTTGCAACATAATCTGGACAGGGGTCCTCAATCTCTTTAAACGTGGGGGGGGGGCCAGGTCACTGTCCCTCAGACCGCTGGAGAATGCGCACTGCGGGCTGCTAAGCAGGACAGGCAGCGGGGGCAAACACACACCTGGAGGGCCGGATACATGGGCCAGGCGGCCCGTGTGTGGCCCGCGGGCCGCAGTTTGAGGACGCCTCCTCTGGACCATACACGGATCTTTGGAAGACCTAAAACAAAATTAAACTATGGCCATCACAAAGTCAATCAACTGACTTCTTCTCCAGCCCTCTGAACAAAGGGCCGACAAGACCAGCATTCGAAATGCAACAGAGGTCCCGACTTATCTTTACCAACTTTTTTAAATGCACTCACAACAAAACGCTTCCTGCACCGAGCAAGCCGCCACGACTCTCCCCAACAACGACCTGCAAAGCCGGTGACCGGGACCGAGCGTTGGGAGCAGCATCTCACTGGGGTCCCACGGCCTGCTGCAAACGTCCCCGTGCACACTGTGCCCTCCGCACGCTCGCACGAGGCGGGTGGGGGCCCGGGAAGGACTTCCCCGGGACAAGAAGGCCTGGTCGTATAAAACAGGGCTTGAGGGACTGGAGGGAGGGACGGGGGGGTCTCTCTCAATTGCTACCTGCTTCAATGGCAATTGTGCAAAAGGGGGTCACTCTACGGATGACAGGGCACAAAAGAAGCAGCAGAACAACAACAACAACAACATTACAACATATTTAATTGTCACCAAAAACTGGTGCATATCCTCAAAAAAAAAAAAAAAAAAAGAAAAACCGAGAGCATCCGCATCCCAGCAAGTTCCGGACGGGGCTGTGTGCGGGCGGCAGAGAGGTCCTGCACGCGGGGTAAAGCGCCAACGCTCTCCTCGCCTGTCCCCGAAGCACCTGCACGGGAGCCCCTCCGGGTGGCGCGGCCCGAGCGGGCCGGCTGGACGCGGAGACCGGGGAGCACCGCACCCGGGGGCGCCCGAGGCTGCTCTAGGCCCGGGCAGCCCGGAGCCCTCCCGCCGCGCCGGGGGTAGCGCGGGCCGGGGGCGGCCGCGCCGGCCTCCGCACACGCACCCGGACCTCTCACCCGCAGCCGGGGCGCCGGTTCCCGCCCGCCACCGCCGCCGCGCGCCTCAGACCCCGGGGTGGCGCCGAGGCTCCGCCAGCCTGCCTCCAAACCCACCCGGGGCCCGCCGCGAGTCGCCGGGCCCCGCGGACTCTGACCCCGCAGCCGGGAGGGCGAGTCACGCCCGAGCCCGGCGTGTCCCCTGCGTGAGAAAGCCAAGCCACGCACGCCGCGGAAGGTGGCGACCCGTCTCCCTCGCCGCGCCACCCGCGCCGCCCGCCGCGCCGGCCTGTCCCCCGCCCGCGCCGCGCCGCGGCGACACCCGCACTTTCCCCCCTCGGACACCTCCGCGGGCGACGGGCGCCGGCCTCACGCCTGCACGGGGCTCGGGCTCAAACATCTACTTTTTCCCAAAATAATAAAGTTCTGAACTATTGTCCTCCCCACCCCCATTTAATTTCACGCGGTCACTCCTGCCCGTCAACACGGGGACTTGCGATCTGCCACCGGTTCGTTAACACGTCCAAGCGCCACTGGATTTAAAACCTATCCCGCATCATCCAGGGGAAGGAAAAAAAAAAAAAGGATAAACAGGGGGGAAAAAA